GTGAGAAATTAGTAACATTTTTTGTCGTGAACCGTGCCTTGAAACTATTTAGGCTGTCTTGAGATTTGCCTTCATTTATTTAATTATTTATTTTTTTATACATGCGTGCGCTACCCCTACCGCTACCAATAAGGCTTAGTGTCTGTAAAAAATTGAGGATAGCTGAAAATTGTAGTTGACAATCATATATCGAGAGGTGTCAAAAGGCAGTTGCTAACAAACGGCAGCAAGTCAGAGCTGGTAGTATCAAAAGCTTCCAGATTTACGATTCAATGTCGATGTCCGCTGATCGGCACACCACGCTGTACGTGTGAGTGTTGATTAGCAATGGCCTGTAGGCATTATGAAGGAGATGGCAAACGGGCTTTCGGCAGTATAAAGGATTAAGAGCACGGTGGCCGATGAGCACGTGTATGGTTCGAGTCCCGTCCGAAGCCAACATCTTGCCCATAACTCGCCTACCTTATAAGATATACGAGTGACAAGAGGGGTGGTGCGCCGACCAAGCGATTTTCGCTTATAATCACCTTGCGCCACGCTGATTTTTTTCCGCAAAAAAACCTTAATACCCAGCGCATGGCGTCCCCCCTCTCTTCTTATATGAAGGGTGTGATTAGTAGGGAAGAGCCGCTCAATCACAGGTTCATTGAACAATATCGATTGTTATCGTTCTTGCAAAACTTCCATCATGTACTGTCTATCCCGTAGAAGTCCTCCTCCTTTCTGCCTCTTTTCCGCTCTAATTTGCATGGGCGCTCCAGTGCCACCATGAAAAGATTGGTTTCGTATTTTTGCCTTTCACGACTACTTCAAAACCTTGCTAAATGGGAATTATCGAATGCGGAGGTGGACTTCATAACAGAGATGATCGGCTCCAGACACACTGGCTTGCCAGTGGCTGCTTTCATAGTCCGCCGGCCGGCCGGCTGGCCGGCGGACTATGAAAGCAGCCGGTTGGGTCGCCTGACTAACGTCAGGCTCTCCGCTTTTTCGAGTTGAATTTGGGCTGCTGCCCGCATCCTTTCCTTTCGGAGTCTCCAGTAAAGGAAATATGAATTTCTGGCCAAATACGCACACATCCACACACACACACACACCCCTCAAACACACGCACACACACAGACACACACCGACACACACACGCTTAGTATAGTAGGACAACCACTCTTCATGCTTTCATCCTCCTCTTCCTACATGGCATTGGTATGGACAGGCGGT